CTCCGGTAAGGCTAAGACGATTTCCACTTTATGTATTATTGAGTGATATTTGGTGTTTAAACTATTAAAATATGCATCTACACTTGTTTTTAGAGGTATTAAGTATTTGGGCATTTCAGCTGTTAGCAAGCTGCTACCGGAGATCCACTTTACATAATAATCTATCAGAAGCATAACAATTATTTTTGGTTTTTAAAAAGCAGTTAATGTTACACGTTTTTTATTTTAAATATATGTTAAATCTTCTGTCAACTTTTAAATCAAGGTTGTCCCACCACGCCTAGCGAAGACCCCGGTCATCTATGTAAAACTTCCCAGCAGAAATTAGCATTTTCGACAGCCTGGTACATGGCAACAGTTTTAATCTCCGTGGTTAATTTGTCCCAATCCACGATACCTGCTCTGGTTGGATTTGCATGTTAATCTCAGCAGAAGGTAGAGCACAACCCAATTTAGCAGTGATTAATTTTCAGGATGCAGGCGTTATTTATTCAGCTTCGCCTGAGGTGTGCAGCCTCGGACTGTTTTTGTTTTACACCTCGCTTGATTAAAATATTTTCAGAGTAAAAATTACGTTTCATTATTTGTGGCTCAGCTGTGAGTGGCAGGTGGGTTAATCTTCTTAGTGTGCGCTTTGCATACAAACAAACACATTGTGCATGGAATTGCACATGCATTTGCTCACTGGATTAGCTGGGAATTTCATCATTTTTCAGGAAACTTCTAATTATTTTTGCCTCTATTTAGCTTTTTCATCTCTTATATAGGTCAGGTTAATTTAGGCAATTATATCATTAGGATTGTAGATAAATACTGCTGGGATGTACATTTTCTAGGCCATGTTCTCACTTGTCCTAATAAAACTTTTGAAACAATTCAGAGCTGATATTAAAAAAGCCTCGTAATACGAACTGATAATTGTGCAGCCCTTATTTCAACATATATGTGACTTTTAAAAGATTGAGAGGACAGCTATGATTTTTTAGTCATTTTTCCAGCTCAGTAGGAAGCCCTAAATCATCCTAAATGCTAATGAAGGACATTTTATTGATCAAGTGAAGGCTCTACGACCTCATAATCGAGGTGAGGTGTCCCTCTGCTGTGCTTGATTACCCTTTGTTACCTTGATCTATGTGCCTTACATTCAGGCGGAAAGCCAGTTTGCTGCCATCTTTAAGCACAAAAACTGCTCACACACTGGGTTATGAACACGCTGGAGGATCTGTTTGCAGCTCTTGGGAATAATGAGCGAGCCTTGTAGCTGCTGCCTGTCGTTCATTATTATTTCAGCATGACACAGCCCCATGTCACAACCAGATGGAAGGAGCAGATTGAAAAGTAAAAATGGCAGCCGTCGTCAGCCGAGGGTGAAGGTGAGTCACTGGTTTCCTGCCCTGCTGATGAGAAAACGATTCATGACTAAAAAGTCACAGGTAATACTTTATTTTTCCAACAATTATTCTTTCTCAGTTAATGCAACGTTTATGGATTGAAGAAAAATGAGACTAGCGTACGTTCTTCCTTTGTGTCACTTCACCGCCATCTCCAGCTTTTATTCTGCACTATGTCTTAGAAGTGTTCAAAAATGTCCTTGGATATAGAAGCAGCAAAGAAAATGGCTTCGAATTACTCAAATCCAGCTGACAAACCTTTCATCCAGCTCTCGAAAAATAATTTAAGTGCACAAGTGTTGATATAACCTTAAACTGTTTAATGTTTAATTGAGAATTTATGTGACAGATTAACACAAAGCTGGAGGAATGATGCTTGTTCACTGCAAAAACAAAAAAATCTTACCAAGTATTTTTGGTCTAGTTTATAGTACAAATATATTAGTATACTTGAAATGAGACAAAACTATTCATAAATAAGCTTTCAGCAATATACAGGAGCTTATGTTTAAAGTAAATAATTTCTTGATATTGATGAAAAAGTTCTAGTTCCACTGGCAGATTTTTTCACTTATAACATGGGACAATGTGTTGTTACAAGTTAAATAATCTGCCAATGGAATCAGCACTTTTTCATCATTATTAAGGACTTTTTGACTTAAACCCATATCTTTCTAAGGAGTTACTTTTGAGTTAGTTTTGTTGAGATATTTTCCCTACAAACTAGATCAAAATTGCTTGATAAGATTTTGTGTTTTTATATGTTTTTACAAATGAAAATCTAAATGAGTTTTTATTCAGCCTCTTTTATCCAGATACCCAAAAATAAAATTCAGTTCCTTACAAAATCACCCAGTAGTTATTATGCAAAGCTTTTAAGACAAACATTGGGTTTCTCAACCAAGCCAGAAATTTGGGCTTTATGGAATAAAAATTGCCACAAGGAGTCCAGGTCCTTTAATTATAAACTTAAAGGAAACAGCAAACATGTAGAATCAGAATCTCAAGTCAAATGAGACCAAAATATCACTTTTTGGTCTCGAAACGTTATGCATGGTAGAAAACCTCAATCCATGTCCATGGTGAAGCATGGTGGTGGCAGCATGTTGGAGTAGTTCTGTTAGTTCAGTCCTGATTTGTTCTTTTTCGAAACCTTTTGTTAATTTTATTGATTGTGGCTTTGCAGTTTGGACAATTATTCCCTAAATGTCACAATTTCAAACTAAATAAATAGTCAAGTTGAATATTTAGTTAACAAGCAATTTAGCTTCAAACTAAATTGTTTAGCATATTAAATAAATATTCTATTTCAAGCTAAATATTTAAGATGCTAACTATTTAGTTTGAAGTTACATATTCAGCATGCTAGCTAAGTATTTACCCTCAAATTAAATACTTGTGAAATAAATATTTAGATTCAAACTTAATATTTAGCTTGTAACTAAATATTGGACTTCAAACTAAATATTTAACTTGTGAAATAAATACTGAGCTTCATACTAAATATTTAGATTTCTAAATAAATATTGCTTGAGGCTAAATATTTAGTTTGAAGCTAAACATTTAGCTTGCTAACTAAATATTTACCTTCAGTTGAGATACTTAACTTGCAAAATAAATATCTAGCTTGAATCTAAATATTTAGCTTGTTTACTACTTATTAAGTTTGAATCTGAATATTTGGTTAACTAAATGCTTCTTTTGAAGCCCAATGTTTAACTTTCTAACTAAATATTTGGCTTCACACTAAATATGTGATTTGTGAAATAAATACTGAGCTTGAAACTACATTTTTAGCTTCCTAACTAAATAGTTACCTTCAAATTAAACACTTAACTTGAAGGTAAATGTTTAGTTGCTAAATATCCCAAATCATTGTGTTATTTTTTGACTGTGTATCTTTACAAACGCCGCCCCGTAGGATTCAGCACCAGCACGTAACATTAAGATAATGTCTCGTTTTTCCTGACTGACAACCGAGTTTTATTCATGAAGGAGACGAGACGAGAAAAATCAGGAGGAGTTCACATGTAACTCATAAAAAATCAATCCAGACAAGAGATTGACAGATCCCACGCTCAGTTTAACAAAAAATAGAGAGAAGCTGGTGTTTCTCCACCTGTTACACCTCTGTGAGGTGATTCAGGCTGCAGCGGACGGATGCTGCTGCTCCACCTCTGCTCTCCATCTTTATCTCCTGCTTGTTTGGTGCCACCTGGCTGAGCTTTTACATGGAAATCCAGCTTGTTGTTAAATAAATTGCACTATTAACTGCCGACTGGAGCCAACAAAAGACCCGCGATATAAACATACAGAAGAAGTGAAAACATCCAGCCTCTGTTCCACACCTGTCAGTCATCCCGGCTGCGCAGCGGCGCAGAGTTTGACTCGGCTGAACTCAAAGCAGAGATGAAAGTCAGGGATGCGATTTATTTAACTGCTTTGAAAAGGATCAAGCCTTTCGTTGCTACTGCGTGACCTCTATAACAAGTTCTTTGCTGTTTGAAGCAACAGTTCACATGTTCAAAAGGTCAAATTTAAAACATTTATTTGTTTGAAATCTGTAGCTTTATTGATGTATTCAGGTGAAGTGACCTTTCAAAAGTATTTATGCACTCACAACTTGTTCATCTCAAGTTAGGGCCATTGTGGACAGGAAAAAATAAGTACATTTTAGCCAGAAAAACTCAGAAAATTGCTTGGAAAAAAAAAAAAAAAAACTCAGATTGTCAGAAAATTTCCAGGAAAAAAAAAAGTGGACTTTTCAGAGTTTGAAAAGACAAAAATTTGCTAGAAAAAAACCCTAATTTTGGTAATAAACTTAAAAATGTCAATTTTTTTCCCCCAGAAAATTTCTGAGGTTAAACTCAAAATTAGAATTTTTTCTAGCGAATTTTTGACTTTTCAAACTCAGAAATTTCCACTTTTTTTTGTGCTAGAAAACGTGAGTTTGAAAATTTGGAAAAACTAAAATTTTATTTTTGATTATACTCAGACATTTTCAAGAAAAATCTTGGAAAAGTATTGACTTTTGAAACTTAGAAATTTTCAAGTTTTTTCCAGAAAATTTCTGAATTTAAAATGTCAAAAATTTACAAATTACGCACCACTAACTACTGTAGTTCATCAAGTAAAATCTCAGGGAAGTACGTTGAGAGGAATGAAAATTTCATCTCTGTCCTGTTCGGGTCTTTCAATCCGGGAAACTGTCCTCCAGTCTGCGTCTTCTTTAATCCCTCTGGTGAACACACACACACACACACACACACACACACACACACACGCACGCCAATGTTACCGACAGTGAACTATCAGCCTAACCTACCAAGAGGGGACGTCCGTTTCTGGTCATTTGAAAAAGCAAAAACCCAATATAAAATTTACTTTTAATCATTTTTTAAAAACTTGCCAATAGGGGTCCTGGATCTCTGGGCTTTAGTGTTTTTATTTAAATAAGTTTTTCAATACAAATATCCTCAAAAAAAGAAATTATGGCCACATTTGAAAATGAATATTGTTCCGAATGCCATTTCATGGCGGCATGAATTAATATCAAGGTCTGCAGCAGGAGAAAAATATTTATATTTTAAATTAGTTTTAATATGTTTTTTTTGTCTCAATATTAATATGGATAAGTTGCTCCTCTGTCTATAATGATCCATCGTGGTTCTGCCTCTGTCGTTCTTTGCAGACAAAGAAGGGACCTTCTGGACAAAAGTTAAATGCTCCAGACAGCATACAGTATATGCGTCTCTATTTCTGCAGGAACTTTCCGTTGACTTCCATTCATTTCTACAGCCTAACCCTAACCATCACATACCTAAACCTGACCAAAACTAAATTCACACCATAGTCTTAAACCGAACTCCTAGCACAAAAACAAAATTTCTCCTTGTGAGGACCAGGCTTTCATCCCCACAGGATCAATGGGTCCCCACAATACATCAAATACATGGCACACACACACACACACACGCTTTCAGAGCGTTTGATGACCCTGCCTTCCAGGGTTTCAAACAGCTCTGAGCCGCATCTTGTCCCTCCATGAATAAAACTCTGGCTGCAGTAAAGGCACTCCTCATCCATGCAGTGCTGTCTGTTTTTCCAGTTGTCCATCTGAGCGACTGGATCTCTAAAAGCGCATCCCAGCTCCATTGGCAGTCACGTATTCTGCAGAACCATGGCGGCGGTGGCCGTTCCCGGCAGTGTCCGGTTGTCTGGGAGAGGTGGGGGGCTCCAGTCCGGCTGGAAGAAGTGGATGTCAAACGTCCTTGCCCAGTTGGCGAAGGCGCGCTTCTCCGTGATGAAGCGGTGGTGGCTGCCGCGCTTGCCGCGCTCGTGGGAGATGTACATGGCGCACTCGTCGGGCCCCCGCGGCTCGTAGTAGTGGTAGGGGACGGACTGGTGCTGAGGCTCCCTGCAGAGACAGAAACGGGCGACATTTAGGAGGATTTTAATGAGTTTCATTAGATACCATGAAGCATTTTTCATTTCAAGGTGAAGGAGGATGGTTGGCTTTAATTTATCATTTGCTGAGCAGATAAGTTTAATTAGATTCATATTTAAAAGTGGCACTTTCATCCAAGCCTGAAATAAGAAAATTAAAAAAGTTTCACAGTTTAAACTTGATTATTAAAATATTAAAAGTGCACGGCTCACTTTTATAGCAGTTTTGACAGCCTTTTTTTCTTTTGTTGCATTTTTACCAGTTCAGTTTTGTTTACACTGCAAATATATTAATACACTTGAAATAAGACAGAACTATCACAAAAACTAGACAAAACTAGTCTGATAGGAATTACTGACCATAATTAGTGATGCGCCAGTTATTCTAAATAAGTTTTTAGCCTTGAATTAGGGTGTTTCAGCACTTTTCCAGTTTTCTGGAAGTTTGTTCCAGATTAGATGAATATAAGAACTGAATACTCCGTCTCTGTGTTTGTTTCCTTTTGCGTTATAATACCTAAATTTTAAGCCTAATATTCATGTTTTGAAATAATTGTGAGGATTTTTCAGTTCAGCTTGTTAGCTATGCAAGTTTCTCAAGTTATTTTTTTCCACCATTTAGTTGATTTCATTGTTGTTTTCTGAAAGCATTTCATTTGTGTTCTTATTAAATATTCATGAGACATTTCACCAATTTCTAAATTTCAGCATTTTCAGCAACATCAGTCATTCCCACCATCATTTATCATCATATTCATCTGCCTCCTGACATATAATACATACATTACATATTCATACAGTCATCATTTTTTCTCATCTGATCATGTCTCTCTGGGTTTACAAGCTACTCTGGGCCTGAAGCTCGACCTCGTCCCTCAAAACTGGGTTTCTAGGTGTTTTAAACTGCAGGACTGATCAAGCTGTCAAGATAACTACAATCACATCTCTCAAAATGCTGCAGCAGCAAGCAGAGAAGTGTGCTTCTGTTTGTGTGTCAAAAATAGGAAGGTTTGTTATAACATTCAAGGTTTTATTTTAGTTAAAAGTGCCCTCTGTCTGCTCTCCACTTATAGTGAGTGTAGCGCTCTGGAGACTTTGAGGTGAATTATGTTTTAAATTAAGAAAACTATTTTTCACTGCTTCCTTTTTTTTTTTTTTGCAAAGTCTGCTTCTGTTTTCTTATGAATCAGACTGGATTAAGATGAGACCTGTGGTTAAAAATGACTGGCACGTCACATAACGTCTGACACCGAATTGTTTTTAGTCTCCAATCTCATCGTCACACTGCAAAAACACAAAAAAGTATTTTTGTTTGATTTCTAGTGCAAATGCTTTGGCACATTTGAATTAAGAGAAGACTAACATAAAAGTAGCTCTTCATCAAAATAAATAAGGTTGTTTTATGCCATTTCTTCACTGTAGATACAAACAGTACTAGTTCCACTGGCACTTAAACAGGATAGTAAGGGGTTATTTACTTAAAACGAGCTCAAATTTCTTGCTGAAAAGTAATTTTTAAATTAGTTCTATGTGCTAAGATATTTGCACTGGAAACCAGACCAAAAATACTTGGTAAAGTTTAGTTTTCTTGCAGTGCAGTGATAGTAAATTTAAGGAAATGAACTGCAATAATGAGCCTGAACTGATTATGAGACAAACCTACAATTAATCCCAAAATTAGATTTAGTCTTTAACTAATCTTTTAATTTTACAAACATGCTCCTTCTACCTGGAAGTAATGTTGACATGAACTAACTCACTCACTCTTTGGTTACCTAGCAACTCACTCACTCTCTGGTTACCTAGCAACAACTTGCTGAGAAACTGCCACAGCAGCAGTTTAAGATTTCACCACTGTGCTTCATAACTGCTTAAGAATAAAACAAAAACAGCAGCGTGGAGTGAAAATTGTGGATAAAATGTGAAAGGTCACACAACCAGTTTGGCTGAAATTCAAATATTTAAAACAAAACTAATCAATAATTATCAATAGACTGATATGAAACAATTATCTTGTGACATTTTGTCATATTGTCCAGCCCAATCACATACTGTACAGTTTTTATCAAACGTAAATAACAGGATAATTTTTTTTAATGCGACACCTTTTACATCTATTATTCCCTTTGTGAGATGAGTTTCATTTCCTACCATAAACAAACTCCTTCATAATTTTAAAGGGGGAGTATTATGTATTATGTATTTTCCAGGCACATAGTGCCATTTCATAGCACAACCAAGAAACCAAGTTACCTTCAGTTGTTATAAAAACTCTGTACATATCAAAAAGAACTTAAGAAACTTGACTTGCATCTGACGGCTTTGAGTAGGCCTCTGTCTCTTTAAGAACCTCCTGCCCTTTCCAACACGTCCCTTTTATCTAGTCAACAAGCAACAATTCTCAACCACTGATGCCATTTAAAGCTGCTTTTAGGAGCTTAGTGGTCGTGCAGTTCCACCAGGTGTTGTTGCTGCCACTAGTCTGGAGGAGTTTGGGGTAAATAGTCAGAAATTCAAATCAGAACCACCAAACTTTGTCGCTCAAGCTGGTAAAGTGCTGAACTGCTGCTAAGATAATGCTGTATTCTATTTGCTTTGCAGGGAAATGTCAGTAAATCAGTTTGATTTAATGTATCAGTGGGAAAGCTGTTTGAAACATACTTTAAATGCACAGACTGCTGACATTCAGTAAAATCTGCACACCTCAGTTGTCATGAGAACTACAATGGACCGCTGAGAATCTGCAAGCAATTTCTGAAAGAAATGAAGCAGCATTCCTCCTTCATGTCTGTTGGGATTGAATTTGCCCATAGACCTTAAATAAACAAAAAATATAAAAAAAGATTTCAATCGACCTGCGCCTGGGTCGAGGATATGCTGAACATTGAACAGTTTGTTCTCTTTTATTGAAAAATCTAATAAGGTTTGTTGCTTGCTCAATGAAACGGTCCAATTAAAGTACTGGCTGAGATGAATGAGACGTGAGCTGTAAATCTAATCAATAAACTCCGCTAACGAGGTGGGTTGCCAGGAGTGAACCTGAGTTTGTGATCATAATGAAGTCCAGAGTTTCTGTGACATGGAAACATTTTTGGAAGAATGAAAAATGTCACGTCTGCAGTGGAAATGATCCATATTTCATTTTAGATACGCTCTACAAATAAATCTGTAAATAGGGGACATTATTTGCAAAATATTAGAAAAGAATCCACAAGGACTGAACCGTGAATTAAAGTGTCAAATAATTTCCATTTATTTTCTTTCAGCTTCTTTTAAAAGTAATTCTGAAATAAATTTATTGTACCTTTTCTCATTAAATATCTTTCATTTTTGGGCAAATGAAAGAAAAACAGATAATTGTGAAAAAGTGAGCTGTAAATGACTGTACATTTATTAAAAAGGTTCTTGCATGATTGTACAATTATAAGAAAGGAATGCAATGTTTTTGAGTCGATTGTTTTTGTTTTTTAGTCAAAGATCAACAACAACAGGAAATCACTCTGTTGGATGTTTGTGGTTCAATTTTCTAGAAAAAGTTTAATTTATGCAAAAACCCGGTTAATGCATGAAACATTATTTTGCATTACTATAATTTTAACATGTAACATTTTTTTGTTTTTTATCTGTAAAAAACTGGATTTTCTCTTGTGCAGAATTGTGACCTCAGGACCCATAAAACCATCAAGAGGACCATAAATGGCCCCCGGGCCACACTTTGTACACCCCTACAGCAACAAAACCACAGCGATGCTGACACTGTATTACATCTAAATCTGTTCTTAAAGAGATATTTTGTCCTGAGACTATATTCCACTTTCACGCTGTAAAACATAACTCTTTATATTTTAAATCCACACGAGGAACAGAAATGCGTCTCTAATGTTTTTCTGAATTAAGATTCTCGTCCACCGCGTCTTTTGTCTCCTTCAGCAGCCGACGATCAATCGAGTGGCAGCCAATAACCGGGTCGTTTTATTGACGTCATGCTGCAGACAAGGAAACGTTTTAAACTGCTGTGGCTGATGATGCCGAGTGGCTCAGAAATCTACTAACCGTAACGCACAAAAGCTTTGAGTCAAGTGAAACAAAGACCAGAGGAGAGTTCATCCAGGTGAAATGGAAAGTTTTAATACAGAAAATACAGGTTTTCATTCGCATCTGTTTGGGTTTTGTTTTAATGCTCAAAGTATTATCATTCAACGTCTTAAAAACATTCATCCAACTTCAACAGCTTTGAAGTTGGATGACCGGGAAGTGAAAGGACATGTTTCCATATTTCTATCTACATTATATATCCGCATTAACAGCGATATCAACTGATGTTAGTCATTGTTTAACGTTGGTCTTAGTCCAATAAGTCAAACCGGGCCGATGTTAGCAACCGATATTTATGTCTAGTCATTTTTATGAGCTTTGAGAGCCGAGGGGTTGATCAGTACGACGGCGTGTCGGGTCGTTGTAGATCAGGGAGGGAAAAGAAAGAAATCTGCCTTTAAACTCAGAAATAGATAGAAATTTAATAGAACATTTCTGAGATTCACTTAAATATTTCTGAGATTTTACCAGCAAATTTTTGGACTTTTTAAACTCAGAAATTGTCATGTTTTTTTTTTCTAAAAAATATCTGAGTTAATCAACATTTTTCTAGCAAGTGTTTCACTTTTCAAATTCAGAAATCCCCTCGTCTTTTCTGGAAAATTTCTGAGATTAATCTCAAAATTTCAGGTTTTTCTCAAAGCAATTTGTTGACTTTTGGAGCTTCAAGAAGAGATGAGGAAAAATGTCCTCTTTTTTCTGTCAACAATGGCCAGAATACACTGTTGTGTTGTGTTCATATATTTATTTTCAGTGTCGAGAGGGGGCTGAGTTCAAATGCACGTCAAAGTTTAAGGATTATCTGGTAAAAAAAAGGATTTAAAGCTGTATATCTTTTTACTTCCACTATTCTGCACAATTTTGTGTTGAGCTGTAACTCAACTCCTCTTTTCCCCCCCAAAAAAATATAAATGTGAGGTTTAAATGTGACAAAATATATATAAAAAAACCTGCAACATATTAACACATGGGCATGTAATTATGGGAATCATCTTTCCACAAATACCTGCTGTCACAAAATCCATTATCGGCTGTTTCTTCCTCGTTTTTGGAAACTATTTACACGTTTCTTATCGAGCGCTGCAGTGCAGCTCGGCCTGGAAGCCCGTCAGTCGGTTCTTGTCTGTGAATTTGTCGTTAGCATTCAGCTCCACCGTCGGCTCTCACCTGCAGAAGTCGGGGGCCACCATGCCGTACACGTTGATCCGATCGCAGAGCTCCAGAGCGATGGTCATGGTGAACCAGCCGGTGCTCAGCCACGAGTTGGAAATCTTCCTGCAGACGGAGGAAGACCACAGTTCAGATCGGTTTGATACGCTTTGGATGTTCCTTATTAACTGAAACGGATAACCAGAGGATCCCACAGCAATGAATAAAGATCCATCTTGATGCACAGGTCGATTCATCCGACGCCTCCCAGCTTCATTAAACTATAAATCCAGATGGATACAAATGAAATCTGCCAAATAATCAAACTCTCAATCAGCTTCTGTCCAAGTTAAAATCCCATTCTCCAGCTGCGGTGGTCCGTCTGCTTTTCCACCACAGAGAGATGAGATCCGATGAAATAAATATGAAGTGATATTTACATTGCATTAAGAAATCTCTTTCCGTCTAAATGTCCATCAGCTCTGAAGCAGAGTTGCTCCCGCATTAAAAATATATCTCACCACTCAGAGGAATTAAAAAAAAGATAGAAAATTAACTTATTTTTGAAGTTGTGAACTAGTTCTCTTGGTCTAAAAGAAAAGAAACATAAAACATAAAAAAAACAGAAAATACATTTTATGTTTTTTTATGTTTTTTTATGTTTCCTTGCATATTTATTTTTTGACATTTGTATTTTTCTCAATTACAGAGACAAAATTATCGAAACAAACAATAGCAATCGAAAACATTATTGTTAGGTTCACTGAATGATCTAAAATTGCCCTTAGGTGTGTGTGTGTGTAAATCTATTGCCCCGTGGTTCACCTCTTATTACCTCCACTTGACCTAGTATACTTCCTTGATCAGGTTGAATGTTTATGACGTTTTCTGCTCAAATTAATTCTTTGATGATGAGATCTCAGTCTGGTCAGGTCTGCCTATTTTGGGCCTCCTGCCTCTTTAAATCTAAATGATCTGCTGGCCACGCCCCCCAGCTCAACGTTTTCACTCACAGGTAAAAATGGCTGCAAACAGATGTGCAGTTATCCAACCATACATCTTTGAAAAGCAAAAGTAGAGCCTCCTGCACAACCAAAAATAACTCGGCAAGTGGTTCCTGGGTGGTAAGTCAATAACCAAACACTTGTCATTCCCAGCAGCCGTTGTACAGCGCATACAGCAGTAAAACCGGGTGACCAAACTTGCTAGAGTTCCACTTTGGTTGCTAGGTGACGGGCTGAGGTTGCTAGGTAACGACGGAGTGCCCGTCAAATGTAATGTTACATTTTCCAGACACCAAAATCATTGACGTATTGCCAAAAAAAAAGCAGTTGAGCGAGTTTTTTATTCACATGATCTGTTTTTAGAAGCAGTTGAAACCAAAATGGAAGCATAAAAACGCACAAAATGTGAATTTTAATAAATGAGAATCTCATCATCGCCTGCCAGGCTGAAGGAGTTCATGTTTTATTTGGGTCGTTTAACCAGAAGCTGTGAACATCTCAGGCTAAAACCTTCAGTCAACTTCAGACTCCTGATGTCTGGTTGCTGCCGTCTAGCCTCAGCTGTAATCTCTGCCAAGCGCAGCCGTGCAGACGGGTTTCGCTGCCGTCATCAGAACACGTCTGGAACAATTAGTGGTTCTGCAAACTGCCTCATGAATATTTCAGTGAAGAAATGCATCACAACTGTTCCTGTTCCCTCATTCGGAGTGTGAAGATATTCATCTTTGAGCTGATGCAACATGTAACTAGGATCCTTCAGCTGCATCACACACAGCTGTGCATTTCATCATGCCGGCTCAGTCTAATCCTGACCAGGATCAGAACAGGTGCATATATTTATGCATCAGAATCTGATGGGCTGTTCTTCCAGATTATCCTATTACCATAAAATGTTGCATGTCTGAAAGTAAGCCTTGAAACTATTTGTCACTCTGAGTCATTAGATGGTTTTATTCACTAATAACAAGCCTCTCAACATATGTGAACATTAATGAGAGAAAACGAACCAAGCTGAGAACAGGAGGAAAAGCAATATTTCTGCTTAATGCACTGAATTCAGTAATTAACTACGCCATCTGTATTATTCCACCTACAGTAAACATGTATTTATAGAACTCCCATCACAACACAAACTGTTCGCAAAGAACAGAAATACTGAAACTGAGCAAAAAATGAGTAACTTGAGTTTTTTCTCTGCAGGATAAAAACATGGAAACGTGTTTGAGTCTGGGAAAAATGAATGTTACATTAATCCGTCTAAAAGCCTCAGTCTCAGTTCGGCTGAATTGAACTCTGCTGCAGTTTGAATGCCAAGCGGACCGGATGCCGCTCCACAAGCAGGAAGTGGATTATGGTGCAGGGCATTCTGGGTAAATACAACCAAAATGCTAGCAGTAGAAACGAGTCGCGGTGTTTTTACCAATGCAAGAGAGAAATCCTAACCGCTAAAATATGATGCTACTCCATTTCTGTTTACATTTCGTGAAGGAGGAAGTTGCGCTCATGTCTTCTTCTGTGGTTTTTATGTTGCTTCCTTCAATAGTTCTCAGTGTAGCGCCCCCACAGGTGAAGAGGGAACAGGTTTTTCAATTAGCTGGTTCGTTTGACACGGTGCAGTGAGAAAGCAAATCGCAGCAGCTAAAAATGTAACAAATGTTGTAAATTTGGTCCCCAGTCGAACCGAGTCTACCGGACTATCAGGAGTGAAAACACACAACCTTAGAAAGCAAAGCATATAATCTGCTCCTCCTGTAACACAAGGATTGACAATCACAGCAAAAGTTAGGTTGAAATAACCTTTTCAGATGAAACGTATTTGCTCCAGGTGGTAATTTGTTTGGTGTGGTCGGTGGAGGATGCAGAGTAGATTTCAGTCTTGCTTTTCCATGGGAGGAGAGGGAAAAGCTTCTCCATGTCTGTGCCTGCGGCCATGTTGTTTCATAATCCATCCACGACTACAGCTGAGGCTGACTCATTCTGTCGTATTGGACTTTCTCAAATGTATTATTGATCTTTACCTCATTTTAAGCCGAGCCAGTTTCAGTTAATATGATCAGTAGTCCAATAAACCGGATATCGCTTTGTATTTTTTACCCCTGGGAACTGTTTGAGCACTTGTTTTTGACTTTTTCAAGACAGAATGATATTTCTCTGATGATCTTCAAAACCAAACAAACTGAAAAAAGGGAACTTATGAAAAAATAACTTGATAAAAACCAGTATTTTTTTTTTTTAATGGTTTTCAATTTCAAAGCCATTTTCTCATTTATAGCCAAAACTCAAAACTGGACTTCCATATATTTATAACAAAGTTACTTATGTAATGGATCTGACTGGAAATGTCAAGTGAAAATGCAAAAATATTTTTATTTTCGTATTTCTTTAAATGAAAATTAGTGTTTTAGAGTTGCAGTTGTAAAGAAAGCATTGCAAGAGTGATATGTCTGTGGAAATCAGGTTCATGTGGTTTCTTAAGATCAGTTTGACAAGTTTCCTTCTTTATCTCCCAACCTGCCTCTGCTGCTTTTCAAAGGTGGCTACAAACTCTTTAGAAACAACCAGGAAAAAAAAAAAGAAAAACACTCCCGTTGGGGGATGAGACCTAAACAAGGCGAGGCCAAGAAGAAAAGCCCGCTCGCTTGCTGCTGAATGAGGCGACACTTTGGGAAAAGAGGGTTTATGTGTTTGAAAAGGTCTTCAGACGTTCCAGCCTAACAGAGAGGAAGGTGTACAGGGATGCGTCAGGCAAAGAAACGCTGGAATAAAAGATGTTCAGAGTGTTTAGATCTCGCTTGTTGAAGCTGTGAGGCAATGAGGAAATGTTTCCTGACAGAGGAAGAGATTTTATAGTGAGACTAAAATCTTATTGAATATTACTGAATTCTTTCCGTGACTGCAAAAAACCAAAACCGTGGCCCTGAAACAAGAATCCCAAATCAACAGTTGCTTTCAAAAACAAAGTCAGAGATGAGAAAAATCAACCGACACGATTCAAAATATTGAAAAATGAGCACAAATAAAAGTATATTATTCAGAAGTACTCCGGTTAGTGGGCAAATTAAAACAAACTTATAAACCTTATAAAAAAATTGCGCCACTCAGGACCAACGGAGTTGGAAAAAAATAATTTTTTTCTTTCGGTTAACCGTTTCTTCTTGTTTTGGATGTTGTGTAGTTGGACAGATTTTTGGCTTTGCTACTTTATTGTGATGCGTAACCATAGCAACAGTTGGTTAACAACAGGGAGCAGCTAGATGGAAAAGCCGAAATGCAAAATATCTTATCCTACCATCTACAGTAACTCTGAAGAATCTGAATTAATATGAGTTAAAACAACATTTAATTTCCTTTTGGGATCAATAAAGTATTTTCACATTTGAATTTGAATAAGCATGCATGAAAAAATGCTGCATGTTTGCTACCACGCCATGCTAAATGTTAACCTGCTGATAGTGCTAGCACAGTTTAAATTGCTAGCTAAAATTAGTTAGCCAAATGCATTTAGCTTGCTGTCACTCTCTAAAATTAGATTTATTTATTTTTTTGGGAAATTTCTGAGATTTAAAAGTCCAACAATTTTTACTTCAAAAATATAAGAACATTTCTGAGGTTTTTTTTTTCTTTTTTTGGCGGGAATTTACTCCTTTTTTTTTTTCCTCGATATACTAATAGCCTCATCATAAAAACCAGACCACTAAATTAAATGTTTATTCTTAAAACAGCAATATATAAATGTTAGCATTTAGCTTGCTAAGCTAAGTTCAAATGTTTCCATAAAGAGACTCATAAACCTTCTCAGGAGAAATGAAGATCTTCCAGCTACAAATCTTGAGCTGGGAACAAATTAAACCCATGGAGTTCATAAGTCTCAGCGTTACATTCATGTCTCATCAACTACAGCTGCCATGCTTTCAACCAAGGCTATAAATGGTTGCCAGGTAACAGAATTACAGATGCTCTAACAGTGCATTTAATCTTTTTAGATAAATATGACTCACTAACGTCTTTTATCAAGAGGCCAAATGTTGCTGGCAAAGCATCCTTCCATCTGGAAAGAGTGAGTCTGTTGGCTAAAAAAAGAAAATGAAGTCGCATTTACCTCATGCTAAGAGAAATAACAAG